AAAAAAAAAAGGAAAGTGACTTGGATAAAAAGAAATGAAGTGACTTAGACAAAAAGAAAAATGACTTGTATCAAAAGAAACAAAGTTAATTAACATTGGACCAATCAATCAAATATTGATTAATACAAAATCAATCAAACACCACTCGCACACTTGAAAAGGATTGTTATGTTTAGAAACAAAATGTTCCAAATCTTCTTGAAAATTTTTGCTCCCACTAGCCCTCTTTCAAGGTGACATAATTCGCTAATCCATAGAAAATATCATACAAGATCCAATGATTCTTAGCTAATAGAATCTGACGTTTATTCAATGGTTTCCATCACTTCTTTCTATGTACTTAACTCATTCATGAATCATAAACCACTTACTAAAGAAAACGAACAAGCTATAACAGACAAGATTTATGTCTAACAACAAGAAATTAGATGGGAAGGAAACTCACCAAATAGGAAATGGTCGAGGCTGCGGTTAGGTAAGAAGGGGTAGACTAGCATCTTCTCTCCCGGAGCGGCGCAGCAGCCAAGTAGGGTGACTAGATTACGGTGCTGAACCTTAAGAAGTAGCCTCACCTCATTGGTGAATTCTCTTACCCCTTGTCGCGAGTCGAGCGCCAGTTGCTTCACTGCAATCTCCTGCCCATTGGCCATCACTCCCTGAAAACCAAACAAATTCCTTAACTTCAATCATATGCATTTAAAAGAGTGGAATAGTGCATCCCCCACAAATAGAGATTGGCATATGTTATTTAGGGTTGTCAAAAAAGGTCGTGGCTCATGGAAAGCTCGTGCTCTGCTGGCTAAGTAGCTCATGTTCGAATCGTTCATTAAGAAAACGAGCCTAACGTGAACAATTTTTTTAGCTTGATTTTTAAACAAGCCAAACACAAACAAACTCATATTTGATCGTGTTCGGCTCGTATTGACAATAATTAATTAAATAATAAATAAATAATATATAACGTTAAATTAATGCTATCTTTTATATGATTAAAGCCATAAAAAAAGTTCGCTAACAGCTCATATTTGGCTCACTAATTAGCTCATGTTCGATTAGTTTGCTGAGAAAATAAGTGGAGTACAAACAAATTTTTAAGCTCGATTTATGACAAGCCTATGGCTCGTTTGTTGTTAACTACTCATTTCCACCTTCTATTGGGAACAATCTAAAGTGTTTTGAAGAACTCAAATGTGATAATCTACAGCACAAAGGTGTATTGTGAAAACTCGCAAAAGCGCAAATACCTTGTAGACAGGACCGAAGCCTCCGCGGCCGAGGAGATTTGCATCCGAGAAGTTATCAGTGGCGGCTTCCAGCGTAGCGAGGTCGATGAACAGGTTCCAAGAAGGAAGACAACTTACCTCTTTATCCTTTCCTCCGACTCCATCTCCTCCTTCCCCTCCTCCGCCGAATCTCCCGGGCCTTCTTCGCCGGCAGCAGCCTAGCCAGCTCAGGAGCTTCATAACTTCGAACAGGCGCCGACCGTAGGGCATACCATCGACGGAAGATCGCCGGAGTTATCGGCGGCGGTGAAGGGGGGAAAGGGGTGAGAGGTGGTGCGGGTTTTGAAAATGGCATGAATTCATTGGGTACGACTGATTGCCTCTCCTTTATTTATATTAGGGATCTGTTTGTTGTTGAA